AATTCTTTAATATTTAAGAAATTGTTATATTCGGTCTCAACAGGAAATATTGTTTATGTGACATGCCAAGTTTTAAAAGTTTAAATAGCTTTTCTTCTGTATTTTAAAATTTTTCTTTTTCCATGCCGCCTTTTTGCATTTTGTGATGCACTCTCCGATGTTAAACCCATATGGAACATTTATTTTTTTATTATTCGACCCCAGCTTTATCATTAAACCATGGCAATAAATACCGAAATTTTTACTTCATTCCTTCCTTCTCTAAAATATTTCTCCTAAATTTCACATAATTTTTATACATAGCTTCAACAGACAGTTTAATGACCAATTTTAAGTGAAATTAAAGTACATAAATCGTTTTCATATTCAATAAGTTTCATATTCAATAAGCCATATATTTTTGTCACTTTAAGTAAAGGTAGCTGATTTTTCTCATTATATAGCATTTGTCTTCTCAACTAGACAGTTTTCATTAAACCAAAAAGGGGGTACAATTTATTAGCAGTTCTATCAGTAACATCCTAGCCTATAGATCAACACAAAAAGTTGATTTGTTACCTTCATTTTTCAGATTTTGAAGAAAGGCTGCGATGTGCAGTAACACGCATTCATGTTTATAGCATAAGCTTTATGAATAAAAAATATTCTTTTGCATTAGGTAGTAAAATTATTCTGGATGATTCGATGGAAAGTCTGCTGCTTCTCGAGTTATATGAAGTTATTCAAACATCCATTTTCAGTAACATTTACCAAGTGTGTTTGCTGAGAGGCTTTAAATCAGTTTTTATCTTGGTGTTGTTTCGTATTTTATGGCCGCTATGTGATTTCAAGAGAAATATATTTTAAAATTATTTATGATACAATTTACTAACAGTAGCTCTCACAAAAAGATTTAATTTTTTTCATTAAAAAGCTTATTTACCTTCTTCTGGTTCTTTCATCTTATTATTAATGGGTGATACAGAACTTTGAGGCCACTTTAAAACAAACAAAGCCTGTATGATGTAGCATGAAAAGGATATCGGTTTTGTATGAAATTTTACTACTGAAGAGAACTTAAAAACACAGAACCTTCAAACGACAGTCTGGCAACATTTCATAGTGGTGAAGAATGGCAAGATATCAAACATGGTAAATATTTAACTTTGGAAATTATTAAAGAAATGTGTAAAATATATTGAAGTAACTTTTCTTCATTCTGTTTAGCTACTATGTTTTATTATGGATAGTTTTAAAACTAATAATATTTTAGTTAATATATTATTTTGAGTGACTACAATCAAATATTAAAAGTAGTACGATAGTAGAACGTGTGATGTAATTTTTTAAGGTATGCATGTTAGAAGATTATCGCTGTTGAGTAATTTGCCTTAGGGAGTTAAACTGGTTTATTGGTATCAGAATAATATAAAAAATATTATCAACATGAAAAAATTATAACTTTCAGAAGATGATACGAAGAAATTTCGGAAGTCAACAGGCTGCCACAATCAAAAGAAAGAAGTATAATTCAGTCTGGATGATGAAAGCATCATCTCAGAAAGTTTACCACATCGGATTTGGTCACCTATCTAATCATAGAGTTTCTGCCGAAAAGCCCAATTTTATTATGATCCTGTGCTTTTATAGCATGCAGAAGCGGATAGCTAAATTAGTTGAGAAACAAGGAGAAATATCACAAGATCTGATAAATCAAAGATTTTCTTTTACCTTTTATGGCTAGAAACTGTGTCAGTCGTAACACACCCCCTATAGTATCAATGGCGTCACTGATATTATTTGGTGATAGCACAATGAAATAAACCAATATTTTTTTTTATTAGAGTGGCGTATAAAAATTAAAGAGAGACGATCTGAGGTAAAAACTAACTTTTTACTACAGTATTCTCGCGTTATTTCTTTGAAGGTATTGTTTCTTCCTCCGGATGCAGCAATTTACAATATGATATAATATTGTGTCTCGTATTTTGATAGTTATGGAATAGTCTGGCTGTGAATTTGAATAACCTTTCCAGCGCTTTATTATCACTGAACATGTCTTTGATTTAAAAGCGAAAAGCATATTATCTTGAGAATAAGAATTTGGAATTTCTTGACAAGGCAGATTGTACGCTATTCAAGGCCTTCAAAACAAACTTTAAATGATTTAAAGAACTGTGTGATTTAGAAGCAAAATATTTACTTCTTATTACATTGTTATTTTATTTTTAATGTTGATGATTTATGATACCTCTAATATATTTTAATTCATAATTTATAATATATATGATGATTATTTAGTCATTTATAGTAATACTGTAATTAGCAGAAGTTGCTTTTTTTGCCATATGTTACATAATTCGATGTCGAATAACCATTTGCATGTCATGAAAAGAGTTTTTAACCCTCCAAGTTAGAGAGTCGCTTAAGAGTCATTCATTGTATCTTAGGTATTTTTATACAGCTGCTGATCAGGTTGTTCCACTACATAAAGCGGATATCAACATTATTACTCAACGAAAAATTATTTAATAACTGTTTCAATAAATGCGTTTGTGAATTACGTAATATATGCTATGTTAATATATTTCTTTATCAACTACATTTAATGCAATAAATTCTGAATTAAAAGCAACCTAAATTTAACAGCGAATTCATTAGAAAATCTTCAGCAAATGTCTTAAATTAGATAGTAGGAAACACTCTCATTTAGTTATATCTATATTAGGGGGAACGGGAATTTTTAACAAGCGGAACAGTCTAAATTCTAACTTGTACAGCATTAACTAGATGTGAGCTCTGTTCTACTTTACGCGCTACTAGAAACGTCACGATTACAGTACAAGGCCTTGTTCTTTCGGTAGTGACGCTGAGGGCACTGAGTGTGATGATTTGCTCTCGATATACAGAAAGTTGTCTTCGGTTTAAGAACTAGCTGTAATCTCAAGTTATCAGTATAAGTTTTTAATTTAATTTAACTCCTATTTTTTTTTGCGTGAAGTACAAAATGAAATTCACTGCGATCTGTTTAGATTTAAAATTCGTAACGAATTTTAAATCTAAACAGTTTTATTCGTTAGAATTTAAAAAAATATGAAATATATATCTAACAGTAAAATTCGTTAGAATTTTAAAAATATGAAATAGCCAATAAAACAAACTTCGAATTCCAAATTTGGGACCACTTTCGGGTGGAGGACTATGTTATTGATAATTCGATGAATCCATGTATCGCTGTTTTTTCACAGTGCCAGAAACTTATATAAGTTCATGAAGATTCTTCATTGATTAGTTTCTTTAAATATAATACAGGGGGGTTAATGTTTAGCGTCAACAATTTGAAAAGCGAAACAACGCATAAATAATTCAATACAAAACGCCGTTTTGAGATTAATAGCCCTTCTTGGTTAACGACCGTGTGGGATAAAAATGAATAGCTTATTTTAGTTTCGAATCCTAATTATATTTAATATTACTGCCATTATAAAAGTGCATGTTTAGGCATTTAAGACGTATTTATGGCTTATCGGTATAATGGTGTAATTTATTAAAATATGTCTTCAGAAAAGCAGTTTTACAACGAATTTATGATTTCGTGATAATCTAAAAATGCATTTATCTCAGCGATGTGAGACACTAAATACGAAGCTAGCACCCGGCTTATAAATTACTACAAACAAATTTTGAAAATGCAGTTTTTTGTAGAAGCAAAGAAACTTCAAAAAGTTTTGTATAATTATAGCATATTGATTATGCAATGCACGTTACTAAGCAATGCCCGCCCTGTAATACTGTACGTGAGCAGAATAACTGCTTAAACAGAATGTGTTAAAACCTTTATTATATTACTATGTCCTTTTTTATGTTTAAGTAAAAAATAGCTATTATAATGTTCTAGATGGAGCTAGTTTTAACAGCTCCATCTCTCTGGGTAGCATTACCACGTTCCTTCTTAAATTCTTAAATTAAGATGTTTTATCATTATTAAAAATCGCAACTACTCAGTACTTACCAATGCAGAAAGCGTTTCATATTAAAGTTTTTAAAAAATCGGATATTTGAGGGAACTGCATTCTTATCACCTGCACGAAATTGAAAGTTTCATGAATATATATAAGAAAAATGTAACACTGCTAAAAGAAATATTATTCAAAAATTGTTTTTCCTGCATTTGCTCACAAGTCCAGTTAATACACGAAGAACGTAAGAATCAAAATACCTCATTGTGGTGTAGTGTTCAATGCTTTAACGGTGTGATGTTGAACTCCAATGAAAACGCTAATGATAGAACACCACATGAAAATTTTATTGAACGCCCCCAAGGAATACATACCATCAACAAGAGAAAAACCTAAATGTTTTTCTTAAAATCAAATTCTATACATTTTACGTGCGAGAGCAATACGTGGCTCTCGAGCCTGCGTTTTTAACATTGACAACAATTTAATTGTTTTAATAACAACTATTGAAACGTATTATTAGTTAAATAATAATAATTTTCCCCTTATGCTCACGAAACGTCCTTGTCCATATTAATCTTCGGTTCTTTCTTGCTTTATGCGACCTTATCACAACTCCTCCCCTCATAAAGGAATTTTTCTTGACTATGGAAGGAAAAATTCTAAATACTTTTCACTGCTTTCAAAACACAAGTGGTAACCATTTAAGTGATAATAGAGAAGCCAGTTACATTACCCTGACTTATTTCTAGATAACAAAACGCAAAAATACAACAAAAAGATTTAAACTACTCCTAATGTCTGCCTCATGCAAAGTACATTCCTCAAATTTTACAAAATGCTAAACATAAAACATTTGATTCTAATCATTTTGAATAAGAAACACACAATGCAAACAATTTTGAATCTACAAAAATATAATAATAAAAATTTAATTTTTCAAACAACAGTTTACAGAACAAAAAGGATTGGCTCCTGCATATAATTCATATGCTAAAGTTCCTGCTGTCCATAGATCTGATCTCGAATAATCAATCACTGAGATAGGACAACCTTCAGCATTTACAACTTGTGTGCCATTAATGCTATATTTCCAACTTTCTCAGAATCATATGAATTGTAAACCAAATAGAGGCCTTCATGACAGCACCCAAAGTCAGTTATTGCAAGTCTAGGAGAGGAGGGTCTATACTGGAAATCTAATAAAATACTGTCAGTCTGTAAATCCCGATGAGTAATATCATTTTGAAGCAAATGTACTAAAGCTTCCAAAAGCTGAGTAAACGGTAGCAATGCTGTGTGACCAGAAACATCTATTCTTTTCAAATATTCTTTTAAATTGCAATTGTATCTCTTCATAACAAGAAATAGAGTCATATTTCTACCACATCCATCACTCAGAAGACGGACGGGAAGGGCGTGTGGATAGTGAAGTCACCAGGAAGCAGAGATGTTTGATCAGAAAAAGCAAAATACATTTCAACTATATTTGGATGAGGTCCCAATTTCTTTTTCCTGACTTTATGTTTTGTCTGTTAACCCAAAGAAAACTCGCCAATGGCTAGTAATGTATCCTTATACATTGCACGCCATATAGCAGATGCATTTCATTCAGTATTATAATTGAACATCACTTTTACAGCAAGGCTATTTGGGAGCAATTTCTCAGAAGAAAACGTCTTGATAGAAGTGAGTTTTTCGAACATCGAATTCTGGAAATCTTGTGTTCCTTCAGTATGCGATATAATAAATTTTGTCCGGTGTTGAACATTATCGTGAGTTTCAGTTGCTTATGCTTTCGAGAATTCTGCTGACGAAACATCCGCAAGGATAGACTTTTCTTCTAAACTTATGTCTGAAAGTTTAATGGCCTCCTCCGTATTACTGGTTAACTTCCTTTGGTGCTACTTTGGTAGACGCCTGCACGGATTTTGGCGAATTTTTGGCGATTTTTCTTTTGGCGAGTAATACGACTTATAGTAAACCCATTGCTGGATAAGTTATTTATGGTAAACGATATTTTGTTGTCATCTTATTTAAAAAATAATGCGTTTTATTTTGAATAAATTCCGTGTTTTAAATATTATTTATGACTTCTAAATGTAAAAAATCAATTTAATTTTGCATTTTTTATTTGAAATAAAAATTTTATTGTTTATGAAATTTTATGTTGTAGATGATGTAATCAATGACGTCACCATACTTTAAAAGTTATTAGTTTTAATATCTATAAATTTAATCTAATGTTTTAAACATTATTTATGGCTGTTAAATATTAAAATACAATTTAATTTTGCATTTTTTTAAAAATTATTTTATTATGTATGATTATTTAAATAATTTTAATTCTAGGCGTGATGTAATCAGCTGTCTGATTGGTTATATAATATTTGGGCATTAACGAGCTGTAATCAGCTCCCTGATTCGTTACTGAAATTTTGTGCATTACCGCGCCATTTTAAAATTTAATTCATTTCGAATTCTTTCAAAAATGTCTGTTTCAAAGATGAATGTTGTTATTGGTAAGTACCCAGAATTATTGGTATCGGCTAAAAAAATTGTCCTTTGAGACCTTATTTTGGCCAGCCTGGCTTTCCTAATCAAAGATTTATTTATAAATTGTTACAGGAGTCAGAGGAAATTTATTTTAAATTTTTGGAGGAAACCTCGCTAAACGTTGGCACAATGTTTTTATAGCGGTGTGTATATTCTCTTCTTTGCTATATGAAAGTAATAACAACCTTACTTTAGTATTTCACACTCATAGTAAATGTATTTATTTACACTTGCCTGCCATCTTAAAAAACGATATTTTCAACAAAAATTTAATCCATTACTTTTAACGATATTTATTTTTTTTAAGTTTCGAATAATTTACTATGCGTAAAAACAGCGTTTTTCAAGATGGCTGACGATTGTAAAAACCGCGCCAACAATTGCGTCAACGTAAATCGCCAAATATCCGTGCAACCGTCTACCAAAGTAGCATCCTTCGTTTCTTCCGAATGCTCATTATTCACAGCCCTTTCACTTTCTATCTCTCTCCCTTCTTCCGATCTGGAATCTAAGTCTTCTGCACTCGCTGTCTCTAAACTCCTGGGCGCATGCGCCTGACTGCGATTCTTTATAATATTCAAGAGAACCGGTCGTTCCCTAATTTCCTCTATCAACTGTGCAGTGTGGTGTAGTGTTAATGCTTCAACGATGAGGTGTTGAACTCCAAAGAAAACGCTAATTATGGAACACCACATGAAAATTTTACTGAACGCCCAAAAAAAAACAGCTACATACCATCAACAAGAGAAAATCCTAAATCTTTTTCTTAAAATCAAATTCTATACATTTTACGTGTAAGAGCAATATGTGGCTCTCGAGCCTACATTTTTAACATTGACAACAATTTAATTGTTTTAATAACAACTATTGAAACGTATTATTAGTTAAATAATAATAATTTTCCCCTTATGCTCACGAAACGTCCTTGTCCATATTAATCTTCGGTTCTTTCTTGCTTTATGCGACCTTATCATATCATCTTTTGTTATCATGAATGATATAATATATAGATAGTTACTTTAAAAGGAAAACTGAATCCTTGGTTGACCTATAACTGTTTCTAAAATTAGAGTAACTGTGCAATTACTAGGGCCAAAATAGATTGCTTCGAAAAATGAAATTTACGAAGGTCTAGAATTTGAAAGGGAGATGTTTACAAGTTACTACTCTGAGATTAATCTCTTGTAAATTCAAGAAACGAAGAGTTAGATATAAATATCATAGTTAAGAAAGTACAGAGAGATGAGTATTTGAAGTTAACTCATAGCTCATTATAATATAAGGCAAAAATACCAATATAGTATTTTTTGTTATTAATCTGTTCATTATCACTTTTGCGTTATTTTGCGTTTGCATTACCACATTAACCCCTTTCTTAACTTTTAGAGAATAAAAGAATTTCAAGCAAAGAATGAAAAAAAGAGCAATGAAATTGGTATTATTATCTTAATACATATGTTATTACGTATTTTATACATAGATAGATGATCTTAGATCAGTAATATGTGAAATTGATATATTTTTCCTGTGTAATGTTATGCGAAAAATTTAAAAAGAAAAGATGTGCCGAAAATGTAAGAATACCCCGACATGTGCATTTAACATTGACTAAATGTAATTTGGCGAGATTTCGTCAAGCTAAAACGGTTCGGGCGACTTATTTTGTCGCCAAATTTGGCGAGCGGTTGGCGACATTTTAGTCCGGTCCCTGTATTACCGTAATAATTATTATAACTGAATAAATGTAATTAATCACTATATTATTTGAAATCGACCCTTATATTGTATTCCAATAATTTTTAGAAGCCGAAAGTACTAGAAATATCTCGACCACCAGGGAAAACTATGTAAGGCAATTAGATAAACAACGAGAGCAGATGTTTAGTATTGTAATTTGTTAGTTCAGCGTGAGATTGAGATACTTCCAGGTTATCTTTCTCTTTAGAAGCACTTTGCATTGCGTTATGTTTAACGTTCTTAGCGGAACTACTGATTGTAATCTGTAATCCTGCGAACATCTGTACGAGTATTTCTGTGAAAAGTTCAAGAACTTAGAAGTGTTTATATTAAGAAAATGCATTTTATCAACCTATCACCCGATCTGTTCGCATACAATCTATAACGAATCAATACGCACGCAAATATTTACAGGGTGATTCTAAATTGTTTTTAGATATAAGAGGGGTGATAGTACCTATCCGGGCGAGCAATAATTACCATAGAACATAGGGTTTCATTCCACTCTGAGAGGTAGAAAAGAGCAATAGAATTCCAACCTCAACTTACAACACCGTTGGGAAAGCGAATGAACGAGACCAAAAGTTGCAGAATCAATATTTATTATTTAGTGAAAACCTCACAGTGCTCAAAATGCCGACCACGCTTGCCTTCCCCAGTTGACATCGGCGAAGGAACGACTGGGCTACCCTCTCGAAGATTCCTAGTGTGTGTCGTATTAATTTTATTCGCGGCAATAACGATTTTCGCCACGAAAACTTCAGCTGAGTCCACAGGCGTCTCGTACTTACACTAGAGATTTCATATATCCCCAGAAGGAAATGTCCAGCGGGATGAGATCCGATGAGCCGAAGAGGCCAAGCCACAGGTTCACCACGTCCGATCCATCGTGCGGGATATGAGACATTCAAAATGTTACAGACCATCACGGAAAAATGTACTGGGGTTAGATCGTGCTTAGACCATATGACTCTCTGGATGGGAAGCACAACAGCCTGCAATAAACTGGGAAGAACTTGTTCAAAGAATATACGGTATGTTGTGCCTGTCAAACGATCTGGTATGATGTAAGGACCTACCAGGTAATCACCTAGGATAACTGCACAGACGTTCACGGAAACTTTCTGCTGGTGTTTATGAGGAGTAGTGCAGGGGGGGGATTGCTGTCAGACCAAACGTTTTGATTGGGAATGTTGAAAATGCCTTGATTGGGCATGTTGAAAATGTTCAATGCTCCCTCATCACTTAATAATATTAATGCAGGAAATCGTGGATCGTTATTCCTCATTCGAGGCATTCACTGCATAAAGCCTGTCCGGCAAAGATCTGTTCCAAGGATAAAAAAAAAACAGAAAAAGGAACTATTACATTTTCATTAATGATGCTAAAATTCATATAAAACCAAAAAGTCGAATCTCAAATGTATCATAATTTTACATTTTTTTTTTATTATTATTATTTTAGGAAAAATGCTGGTACATTTCAGGTTCGGTTTTTGATCTCAAGTGAACCAGGAGAACGAAACACGTTTTCGAAATATTCTTTATGAAGCTCTTTTCTTTTATGAAGCTTTAATTCATTTTTCCCTAGGGAGTTCTGAATTGGAGTATCAGTAAACGATTAATTTTAATTTTTATTTTCTTCTATATATTTTTTCCCTTTTGCATTTTTATTTTTCGAGTTTATGAATTCTTATATTAATTTCGACTAGTGTTGATATTGTGTTAACCTTTTATACACGGCTGGAATTATAATTATTGCTGAGGAATTGCCTTGTTTTGACTCCAATTTACTTTTAACGTTAGACGCTTTAAGTTTATTAGCGCAAGATGGGTACAAAATTTTGTTTTAAATTTTTAGCCTCTTATTGTGTTTCTTTATGTTCTCTTATTGTTCTTATTAGATAATAATTTATAATAAGAAAACTTTCCATATACCATCTCCAATATATACTCTAGCCATTATCAGAACCATATAAATCATCTAAACATCACCTATAATATTTTCCATCATCTCCAGTTTTTCTCCTAAAATAAATAAGAGCACGTTATATTCACAGTTCAAAACTTATTACAGAGATATTT